ACCCCACAAGCACACACAAATCAGGACCAAAGTATTTGTTTTAATTAAATTAAAATATATTATTATAGATGTTTGATTTTTAGTATGTAATTTGTTTTTTTCGCTAAGATGGCAAACCCTCTTCCCCAAAGGAGTACTTCCAGGGACAAGGGGAGGGATTTCCAGTGGCAAAGGTCAGAGGTTAGGGGCAGAACTTCCAATCCCAAGATGGTGACCAGGGGGCAAGACACCTGTCAAGGGGCAGGGCTACCCATGCAGACTTCGACAGTTTGCCAAAACCCGGTAAGTGGTCCTCCACCTGAAATAACTGCCCACTCCTGGTCTAAGACATTTACATAGATGGAAACTCAGAACTGCAAGGGTGTTGAAAATCTAAATCTGGATCTACATTTGGCAAAAACTGAAATCTTTATTATGCACAAAAGTAGGAATGTAATTAATTCGCAGCTTCACAGATTTTGCAGAATTGCAAAATCCGCAATTGTCCACAAAATCCACAAATTCATCAAAAAACACTTAATAAAAATAAAATGTTGGCTCCACAGTGGGAGCCAGCGGTCCTCACTGCTGGGAGGGGAAGGTGCCAGCTGATGGGGCAGCGTGAAGGGCAGTGGACAAGATGGCAGCTGGCCCCTTGTCCTCCTTCAGGGCCTCCCTGCCAAACAGCACTGAGGGGCGGGGCCACATGAAGGACAGCCAGAAATCAAAACTGTGGCTGGCCCCTTGTCCCTCCTCCCCCTGGGGCCTCTTAGCCAATCAGCACAGGGTGTGAGGGCCTTTCCACCAGTCAGTGCAGAGAGACGAGGCTGCTGCAATATGACGACAGAATTAGAACTTTACACCACGATCAGTTCACAAAAATTGGTAAGTCCCTTTCCAATTTTGGTAGATACCTACACATAAGCAAAATGCTGTGTCCAAATAGACTATGTTTTAAGAGGGATCTCAGCTTCATCTCATCTCTAACAGCAAACTGAAACACAAGCTAAATATATTGTCATTCATGAAGAAAGGGATATTTAGAATATTGCTTTATACAACCAAGGCCAAATTTTCAAACTACTTGTACAGGCAAGGACGTGCCAGACAGAACTCATAAAGACCGTCTTGTATTCCCATTTAAATCAATTGCAAAATAGGATTTGACTTCAATGGGAAGAAGCCTCAGCCCTTACTAATTTAATTTTCATGGCAAAGTGGGACAATTTATATCCAAGCTCCTAACAGCCAGTGCTAACAGAGGGGCACTTCTCACAACAAAGGAATGCCATTTGAATGACAGTTTTACTACCTTTTCTTCATTTGCTGCCATTAGAGATTCCACAGCCTTCTTCATTTTCTGCACCTCCATATCTAAAAATACACAATTTACATAAGTCAATTTAAAGAAGCTACTAAATAAAAGAAAAACATTGACAACTTCTAAGGATGTTACAAGTAACAAGAACAAAAATACAAACCAGGAGTGTAGGGGGGCCCTAAACATGCTTGGTGGCAAACCTATCTGGTACTGATGGGGAGTGCACGCAGGGGCCCCCCTCCCCACAGCTCAGCAATAATCTGTGGGGGGACCCTGGGTGCCCCCCCAGACCCAATTGCCAAGCCACAGGGAATGAGGAGGGGGCCCCCCTACACACTCCGCCAGCAGACCGGAAGTGGACTGGAAGTGCTCCTGGTCCACTTCCAGGTACGCTGCCAAGTGCCCTGGGGAGAACCTGCACTTCTGTGGGACACTCCATGCGCCCCAGCATCGCAACATTCACA